CGCTCAATCGCGGCTTGTTTACAGCCCTATTTGTAAGTCCTGATCCCATCGTCGCCTTCCGAGCTAAGGTTCAACAGCGCCTGTGCTATTTATGTATTTATTTCAATTTGTTAACTTTAATTAACTAAATTGATTAATAATTAATAAAATATAGTGTCACACTAATTATAATTATAGGTTTTTAAAAGTTATATTTTATTAATAAACAACAGAAATTTGAATATATATTAAGATTTAATTAGTTTAATAAATGTTAAATAATTATTAATTAGACTAATAAATGAATAATCAAAATTAATTGATGAATGTTACTTCATAAATGAAGCACACCAAGATGGATACCTTGCTCTCATTGCAGCTTCTTCACTTCAATTCTACCGGTGGAGTAATTATCATTAAAGATATTGCTAAATTAAAGTTGTTTAATTTAATTTCAATTCATTTTAATTAAGTTAATTCAGTAAAATTAATAATTAATATATTATATTAAGTATTTATAATTTAGTTAGTTTAATTATAATTGATCCAAGCTTATAAGCAATTAATTAATGATGAATTAATGAATACTAACATTGTGATTAAATATTAATAAGTGCAATAAAATTCTAAATAAATATTAACTAACTTTACAAATAATTAAAAAAAATTAAACAATAGTGGAATAATTTAATAAATATATTCTTGCATTATATCATTTTCCTTATCTAACATCACAATCCATCTCAACTTGAAGAGACTGGAAGAGGTTCTGACAAAAGCCAGACAGAGATTCTTTAGAGGTGGTTATTTTCTATCATCTTTTAGAAAACACAAAACAAGCAAAAGCAATAGCAAGTATTATTGATATTTTATTTTGTTATTATAACACCAGAAATATTCCCAAAACACAATAACACTCGAATAACACCGGGAGATATTCTCCCATGTTATAGAGAATATTCTCCTATAACGTGATTTCATTGGACTTCGCACGTAACCGGATGTAATATTTTTTCCAACAAATGGACATTAAACTCATTACCAGCACTACTTGGCACAACAACATTTCTCTTACAACATTGAAATACTGATCGCAGAAGTGACTAAAAAAGAGGAAACATTACCAGCACGTAACCCACACATTTGCTGATGTAGGGAACATTGGTGATCATAAGAAAATATGATGCGCTGTTAGAGATATAGTTACAAGGCTTTCAAGTTCACCATAGGCAGAAAAGGTCAACAACGGATTCTGAATTCTAGCTTGAATGGGAGGCATTGGATTAGAGTTGTAAACAGCATTATCGGAAGTGTCGAATTAGGTCAGAATGACATAGTGCCCATCTTAATAAGATTGAGCTATCTATTCCTCCCAAATCCTCTACAAAATTGTTTCACATTGTCATGTCCTCACAAGATCATCAGTTTGATAAAGGTGATTTAGTCTGAATGTGTATTGCATTGCATTTCGTTCAGCCGTCTTTTATTATAGGTGAGACTATGGAAGATGTCAAGGAAGATACATTAAAAGGACAGACCCGGTTTAATTGCAAGTCAGATTGTTACAAAATAAGTTTGGGGAGAAAGATGCAAAATAGGCGTACAATTAAAGCATAGCCTTAAACATAATGAGCCAACAATGCCAACAATGCATCAATTCAGCTGTGAGTTGCCTGGAACGAGAGGTCTATTTATCCCAATAGTTGGGGAAGAGCTTTCTAAGCATAAGAAATCATCAAATTATGCCTTTTAACAGCAACATAATCACAAGACATTGTGATAGATCAAACGGTCTCAGTTGCTGGATTGCACAATTAAAGTCAAAAATTCATAATTTACATCATTACAAAGACGCAAAGAGGGGCAAACATACCATAAGGGCATCACAACCTGCGAAAGAGTTTAGGCCCCTCTAAAATATCAGAGCAAAAAACCATATAATCAGCATTTATAAACACATTATTTCATTCCATAAACAATTACTGAACATTCTGAGGGTGGTTCCTCTTATGTTTCCACCATCTGATTTTAAGAGCCACCAAAAATTTAACGTAAGCGGGTAAATGCTGACATTAGAAAAGCCTCTCATTTCTAGCTCTCCATATACCAGTGCCAAGCAAATTCACAAGTTGAGTCTTTTTTCAGCAGAGTGATTAGCAAAGCTTTCGGCTGACAAAGCTGAGTTCATAGTAGTGTAAAAAGCAAATCTCTAAGTGGCCGGGAATAACGTACTACATTGAAAGAATAGGTGGGGACACCCTCCTATGGATATTATCAGAAAGAATGTTGATGATCTTAAGCTAGCATGCAAGTGGAAAGTGAGACTCGTGGATAAGAGACATGTGTTGATCCAACTAACAATTGCTGAAGACTACACCAGGATTTTCTCCAAGAAATATCTTAATATCGAAGGCAAATCAATGAAGTTACTCAAGTGGTCTCCTAATTTTGACCCAAATCATGAAACTCCCACTATACCGGTATGGTTTAGTTTACCTGGTCTCAAGCTGCATTTTTTTCACCATCAGGTTCTCTACTCTATTGGGGCTATTCTTGGGGATCCTCTAAAACTAGATCTACCTACTTTCAACCTAACCAGACCCTCAGTGGCCAGAATACTTGTGAAAGAGATATTACTTTACTTGATGTTACTAAAATCTGGTTGGGCACAACCCATAATGGTTATTGGCAACAAATCGTCATCGAACACAAACCTCCATATTGTACCCACTGTAAGATGTTTGGTCATATCCTTGCTAAATGTCACAAACGTCATCCTAATTTGAAATCTAAGGTTCAAGTGAATAAGGATGGGTCTAACTCTACTGCTGTGGACATTTAAGTTCCACCTGAGGATTATACTATCAAACAAGAGGTGTCTGTTGCCCCTGAGGATCTCCCCCATGAAACTGTTGTTACTGCTACTGCGAGTGATGAGATGTTGGCACCTACAAATTCCATACAAAACAATATTGATGGACTCTTACCTATAAATGATGGAGTATGGAGTTCAGACTGATAATCATGAGAGCCTCACAGCTCCATTTCTTCAAGAAGTATCCGGTGGAGCGGGTACTC